TATATATTCTTTTTTTTTTACATATTGTTGGTCGTCTGCTAGAATCTAAACACGTTATTTGCTGGACAAAACTGCGCAGTAGCTGATCGATATTACCTTTCGAACATTCTTGTCACATTTACTCTTTCCCTGTACCTTTAGGTAAATTTGGCAAAGAGAAGTCAACACCGCGCTTACGATATTGGTTTATAAAATTATGCAACGTATGCGGTGTGTTATTAAATATTAACAAGTCTGTCTTGTTTCTCCCTGCAGTTGCTGCCTTCCCAGCTCCCAGACTACAAATCCACAAGAAATCGGAAAAGTCATGTGCGAGTGAGCCAGAAGTGAGTAACTTTAACTCTTTTGCTGCCATTCCACGACAATATATTGTTGATATTCGGTTGTCTACTTGTGCAAATGCACGATCTATCTTTAATATAAAATTCCATTTTTTTGGGGTTTCCTTTCCAATCCAAGTTGGGAAATCCTTTCATGCTCACTATTAAAGATAGTCAGTTCTCTTTTCATTTTTTTGGGTGGTAGTCACTTGTCAGTTCTATTTTCTTTGGGGAAAGTACCTTTTTTTCAGTGACGTACTTTGTACGACAGACAAATGATAAAGGGAAAGAAATTGCTCCGAGAAGGTGAGGAACTCAAAAACTCTCTTATCCAATCCATGTTCAAATCTCAAACCCTCCGTATGTTGGTCATGCGAGCAGTGAACTGTGGCAGCCACATAAGCGGGCAAGCTTGTGCTCATTGAGAGCTAAGAACAAAACGAAACAAACAAACACCCCCCAACCCCCCCCCTTAAAAAACAACTAAAAAACCCCCAAACCCCAATGGTAATCAACGTTTAGCTCCTTTCGGGACCAGCTCTGGTTGTTAGATCACCAGTGTCTATAATGTAGGGAAAAGGCATTTCGCCATAACGCTCAGAAGACCTGAGCTCGATTCCCATGTATTGAGAATTTTTTTTATAGAGTACCGCAATCTTTCTGCTTAGACGTTGTATATCTCTCATTTCGTTTTGGTCCTGACAGGTAGGGTCGAAACCTCCTTCTAAATGATGTAGTTTGTATCGAGGGCGGGAAAACAGATGCATTAAAATTTCAAATATGGAAAAAAAAACTTGACTGATCGGTCAGAACCATTGACATATTATAACAATAACGCTCTGAGACAAAAAGCGTGCCCATCTCTAAGATTTGAATGATTTTAGTTTTGACGAATATTACATTCTCACAAACGATCTAGGAATGTTTAGATTTATGTTGACCGAGTGTTTGGAAAAAGGATTAGATGCAAAAGGTAAGGCATGTTTCGTTTGAAAGTATTCTTTAAGGCAAGTGCAGTCGAACCTGCTCTAACTGCCTGCTAATTAAGACAGTTATATGCATAAACGACTAGTTCCTATCGCTCTCCCCCCCCCCTTTGCGCTTTTTTCTATGCCATAATGACACTGTCCATGAAGTCCACCTGTCTCAGATAACAACTTTTCTCCTCGACAATGGGTAACCGTCTTGGACAATATCAACTGTATACTCGTTGTTGGTCTAGAAGAGAGCGTTGTGTGGAGCTTAAACATACTCTAGTTGGCCATCACTTTTCTTTTCTTTCTGTTCTTTTTCCTCCCCTGGCAGGCCAGCTCTGCAGCTCTTTTATTGCGATATTATTGTAATTTCTCAGGGTTTCCTTGACTCCCTCAATGCACCTTTTGTGTGGCCTTCCTCTTCCTGTATAGCCTGAGTGCTTGGTGTTATGGGCTCTTGAGGCTGTCTGGCCAGCTGACATTCGTAACACGTGACCAAAACCATTTTATTTTCTGTCTTTCCATGAAATGCAGGCGCAGGACTCAGTGCTAACAGCTGCTCTTACTTCTTCATTTCTTGGGTGTATCGTCTTGTGATGTTAAGGGTTTTGCGGAGACATTTAATCTCGCATGCATTGATTTCTTTTTCATGGGTTTTACTTAATGTCCAGATCTGGCATTGGTAGCATAATGTTGGTATAACTATTGAAGTGATAAGCAGTCTCTTTGCGTCCATGGAGGTCACTAGAGTGTTAATATAATGGAAGACTGATAGTTCTACAAAGAGAAAAAAAGACAACAATAGCAATTAGAGATAAGGATTCTTTTTCTAGTGTGCCTTTCCCGTGTTTAAACAATGTGGTTGAGTAGAAAAAACTCAGGCCCATACATGTTAGTCTAAGTGGAGCTGTTGATCTAAAAGAACGAGGCCCATTAGAGGAATCGATGTGGAACGTAGAATTTGAGCACGGTGCATCGATCGCTACAAAGCGATACGATATCAGAGGCTCGTGATTTATTGAGAATTGATCTTCCAATCAGGTCTGATTATTGTAAGCGATTCCATGCCAGACGGAAGATCGGAACTTCGGTCGATCGAAGATACAATAGAGAAGCCCATGAACTTTTAATGAAAATATAATTTTTTTCGAGAACAAAACCATGTATCTTCACTTCTGTGTTTATGCCATGTTCTAGAACCAGTCCACCACATCCCACGATCAATAATCTCAAAATACAAAACTTCACAAGATTGAGGTGTCTTTTGTCCTCTGTTTTGATAAAAACGCAGAACCAATCACTACTTCAAGTAGGGTACCGGTAGTTGGTTAGGTTTATCTCTTTTTTCTACTTCTGTTGTTTCTATCTCTCAACATCGCTCTTTCCCTGCATTAAATAATGATTTTAAATACCCTTAACATTATTCCACAGGTGCCTAGGACATATTTTTGAAGTTTAGTTCAGTTTTAATAAGTGTTTTATGGTATTTGCAACACAAATAGGTCAAACAAGTGCCAAAGTTTAGAGGTGTAACCAGAGGGTAACATGCAAAGAAATGGAAGAGAGACAAGGACGATAGACGTCTGATAGGAAAGAAGGATCAATTTACACCAGAGCACCTGCCAACTACTCATTTTGAGCTTTTGAGAAAATTTAAGAAAAGGAGAGCGTCAAAATAAGAACGGTCACATGGATACTCGCTATTTTTCATTTTTAAAAATTAGGAGAGAAGTAACGAAACAGAAACTCACTAGATTGTAAGATGCTTCTTTATGTTCTTATTCGAATAACGGCTGCGCGTGTGTGCGCGCTCGTGAACGCGCGCGCGCGCGCGCGCGTGTGTGTGTGTGTGTGTGTGTGTGTGTGTGTGTGTGTGTGTGTTTGTGTGTGTATGTGCGTTTGTGTGTGTATTTGTATTGCATGTATTTGTGAGTGTGTATGTGTGTATT